TTTTTTCCAAATCTAAACGTCCTGCTATTCGTTTTGTATGCAGGTTATTTCATATAAAATCAGTCAAATTGGAAAAAGGTTTCGACTCGAGCCCCTCAGAATCGATTTCACTCTGGTAATCTCAGCATAAGTAATACAATATACTATATTTTCCAAAATACAGTACCTACACAGGGTTGCACTAAAATTTGGCACCTTTTTCAAGAAGCGTACCTTTTCCAGCATTTTCCAGCCCTCACAATGTCTTAAATAAAGAGGATATCCACATGGAAATTTCAGGGCTGAAAAACACATTTTTGTTCTGCTCTGAGAAAATTTATTTTACCCTTAGTCCAACTCTTTGTTTGGTTTGTTCAACATGGAGAAAACCAGCAGTGAATATGGGTTCCCTGTTGCTTGTAATCTGATTACAAAGGCAGGCAGAAAATGCAAACTGTTTTTATCTTCTATTAAGCACACTGAGTTTGCATGTAATGCAACGTGCTATAGGAATGAAATTGCAAATGCCAGTGTCACACCAGAAATTTAAGGAGCTTGGAAAGAAAAGCGTCTGGACTTCTTTAAGTTTCTTGAAGACATTTCATCTCTCATCCGAGAAGCTTCGTCAGTCCTAAGAGTAATTGGTGGAGAGTCTCATATTTAAGCCCTATGGGAGAGTCTTTCCACCAATTCAAGAAACTTAAAGAAGTCCAGACGCTTTTCTTTCCAAGCTAAGATTAAAATGACCTGGATGACTGAGAACCTTCACAGACAGACCGAACAGAAAGTTAACACTTATTATGGAAAACCACACTGGAGGATGAGACGGGCAAAAAGCAGGCTTTTCCTGTACTGTAAACTGTTTTGATTAGCCACCTATCGCACATGGTTACACAAACTTGAAAGGTTTATCCAGATCAAAGATCCAGGCTGTCAGCGCACATTTCTGTTAATCTACAGTATGTCACGATCATTAAACAGGTTGAGATAAACTGCTGCAATCTGCTCTCAACCCTGTTTGATATACTATGATTCTGCTAAGCTGTTCGCCATCTGAGGATATTTGCATTAGTTTCCACGAGCTGTCCGCAGTCAGGGTGTGGCGTTTTCTCTAGTTACTCTCTTCAACCCCCAAACACACACACAAACACACACAAACACACACACCAGGCTTTCTGTTTGACATAGCTGGATGTTCTGTCTTCCTTCTCAATGAAGAATTTGTGTCTGTTGCTTTACTTATTTATAACGTGTTAGGTTACATGTTTTCTAGGGAGTGGAGTCTACACAGCCGATGTTCATGTGTGTGTCTGTCCTTCATGACGTCGCAGCTGCTGAATCTGGTTTGGCAGGCGTTCTGAGGAAAGAATGAGTAGACACAGGCAGCAGGGGAGAGAAAGGGAGCTGAAAAGCTGAAAGTAGCTTTTCCCTTCAGTGCTTAGTCTTCGCCTGCTGGTGTCGGCACACGGGGTGTTTAAGTGGCGTTTCACTTCCAAGTAAGTTCCTTTCTCTGTTTGGTTTTCAATAATTTTACTGTATCCTAAAGTCAGGAGTGAGCGGTAAACATTGAAACTGTATGCAGGAGTCTGTCATTTTCCCCCAGGGCCAAGCTAAAGCATGTTTTTGTTCTTTTTAAAAGTAATGCAAAAGGTGAACACGAGTTGTTTTATGCTAGAAAAATAGGGAAACTCATTTAAAATAATAACCAGCTATGGAACAAACATTTCCTT